CAGTCATTCCAGTGGCCATCCTTCTGAGATCCAGATAATGAATCTGAGCTCTGAAGTCACTTTCTTTCTTTTGTGAAGGACTTTCAGGGCTGCGGAGGACTTGGAGCTTTGAAGCAAATAATGTATAAGACCTCTCCAGTACCTGGTCATCCTCTCTTGCAGCTTTAACTGCTGTTGCAGAGTTGGGCTGATTTCAGCTGATGGGTGTATGGTTCACCCAGGGAAGGTTTTTTTAGGAGTAAGGTGATAAGGCTAAACTTTTAATTAATGTGTGTATAGGGTGCAGCACGACAGGGACAGTGCTAACTGAATTAAAATAGTTTGCTTAGGTCTAAGTAATCTCAGTTTGTGCTCCACTCTAAAACTCTCTAAAGATTAAATTCAGTACAGCCTAGCACAGACAAGGGTATCTGTCAGTCTAGGTGCAATGTGTGGCATGACAAATAAAATGGGAAGCTTCCAAAGATTAGGTTTGGGGTTTTTTTTCTCAATGGCAGCTTACATGACAAAGTAGAATTCCTTCTAGGGCACGTTCTTAGATAGTCCGGGGGTCTGTAATGCATAAAGGAGAGAAAAAGTTGAGGGAGATCCATCAGAAGAGAAGCTGCATTCCCTTCTGGTTTATTATGTTTATTATGTAAATTAGCACTTTAATTCACTGAATCACAGAATCCTAGAATCCTAGAATAGTTTGGAATAGAATGTCTTGGGTTGGAAGGGACCTAGAGATCATCTAAACCAACCTCCCTTAACCAGCCCAGGTTGCTCAGGGCCTCATCCAACCTGGCCTTGGATGTCTCCAGGGAGGGGGCAGCCACAGCCTCTCTGGACAATCCGTTCCACAGTCTTGCCACCCTCGCACTGAAGAGTTTCTTCCCAAGATCCAATCTAAACCCATTCTCCTTCAATTTGAATGCATTTCCTCTTGTCCTGTCGCTGGGCACTCTTGTGAAAAGTCTCTTCCCATCCTCCCTGTAGGTTCCCTTCAGGCACTGCAGGCAGTGATAAGGTGCCCCCAGAGTCTCCAGGCTGAACAATTTCTCTCATTTCAGGAATCCTTAGTAGAGTCCAAAGAAACCTGAGTGGTTACAGCAACAGGATGGATTAATGAGTTTTGTTTTACTTCTTTCTGAAGTTTTCTGCAGGTGTGGTTTCAGTAAGTTGGGAGGTGTCCTTCGCTGGTTTTTGCCACCTACTTGTATTACAAATTCCTTTAACAGTGTTAAGGGTAAGAGTGATTAGTCATGCCAGGGTCACGGGATTACTCAAAACTGTAAGTGCTGGTTTCAGTGATGCTGGGAGCGTGCTTTTAATGAGTGAGTGCCTTGAGCAGGTGGTGGTTGTATCACCCTTGCAGAGCACTGAGCACACTTTCAGAGCTGTGCTCAGAAGAACTTTGTGGATGTCCTTGTGATCAGTAGAGTTCAGTACCTCTAAAGTCATGGGAACAGGAGCCTGGAAGCCTACAAAAAGGCATGGGGCAGGGGGCTAGTTGGAGAATCCACCTTAGACACAGGGATTTGGGTAGAATTCCTTGACATATGACAGATGAGATATGGTGATACACGAGAGTCATGGTTTAGTCCGTAGTGGAAGACATGCTTGTGATGACAAAATAATTGAGAACAATGTAATTGAGCTTAGGCAACAGAAGTCTAATAGAGTCATAGATTCATAGAATTGATAGGTTTCAAGTGTATTTTTGGGACTACTAGATGGAGAGCATACACTTTTCCAAACACGTGAGGTTATTTTCTATAGAAATGAGGACACCCATTAATCTTTTGTTTGAAATTGCTAGTTGTATTAACTAGACAGAAGTCATCTGAGGCTGCCTTAGTTAGAGTAGATGTTGTACTTAAGGTACTGGTTTTGAATAATTTAGTCATGAAGGTACATTGGAAGTTTGCAGTTTTTGTTGGTCCTCCTGGAGACCAAGGAGACCTAAGGATGATGTCTTTTAATATTTTAGTGTTCTCTTAAGGCTTTCATTGGGAGTGATCCCATTTGTTGGAACGCTCTTACAGTGCAGCAGGTTGCCGTGGCTGTCAGTAAGATTTAAGATTGCAGTTATTCTTTCTAATAACAAGAACTTGAAGGATGACAGATGGATATGAGTTTCACCACGTACTTGTACGTTGCTCTGGCTTTGTCTTTCTGATCGTATTTGCTTATTTGGGTTGGTGTCCAGATAACGTTTGCACATACCACATGTTTAGCGTGTCAGTGACGAGTGTTGGCTTTCAGATACCCAACTTGATTTCAAGTATTTTAGCATATGGAAGAGGTGTCCATAGGCAATGGAGAAGGACTTTGCATATGGGAACTTCATAGCCTCCTCATACAGTAAAAAACAGCATTCCTTAGCAGAGATGTCCTTAGCTGGGAAATTTCTTCTTGTCAACTGTGGTATTTGGACCTTCCCTTGTACCATTTAACAGTATTTCCTTTTGTCAAATGTGGTCTCAAACTGTTTTCAAGGTACAGGGGTGAGGAGACATGTAGTGTTGAGCGTGAGAGGGCAATCTTTTTATTTCTGAAAACCGTTTGGTTTTATCTCTGTGATGGATGTTACCTGTTATTTAGCTTTCTTAAGTGGATTGATACCCATATAAATCTATAAGGAGAGTCATTGAAAAAGTGCATGTCAACAGATGCAGAAAATAAATGAAGGTAGCGAATGCTTTCTCTTTGTTTAAAGGAGATGGCCTTTAGACACTACAGTGCATTTTCCTGTGTCTGTATATGATTAATAAGTACAAATAACACTGTACCATCTATGCAAACATGATGGAAGATATTTCTGAGAAGAGAGTATAGTGATGTCATATAGCTCACCTGCTGTGTTAGCTCTGGCTGTTTCTTTTTCAAAGATATTAACGTAAAGAACCTAGATAAAAATATTTGGATCTCCTACCACCTTATGGGCTTATGAAGTAGGAAAACACTGAATTGTTGGAAACGTCTATCTCTACTGACTAATGAATTAATCATTTTTCAAGCTTAATGAAAAAGATTCAGCAGTATATTGTGTTCTAGAGAAGGTAAACATCAAATCTAACTGTAATTCACAATGTGTTTAAAACAATTATTCTTTATCATTAAAGTTAATAATATGCACATTAACCTCTGATGTAGTCTGAATCAATACTGCAGTTTGGGAGATGTGACCGCTGCACAGCTTTGTCTAAATATTGATTTCATTGTCATTTGTATAAGGTATGAAACAAATTACATGCCTCCCTAATAGCATTAATGTAGCCCCATTGAGCTACTCAATTTATAGCTTCTCATAATGCTTGACAAAGCATTATGGAATTGTTGAAGGCATTGTGAAATAAAATTGCTTAGCGTCTTAGATTTGATTGTGGGAGGTGAATGCCAGCACTCAACACTTTGCTGTCCTAAGAAAGTCCGGGAACAGGACCGAACCACTCTGTAGTATGCCAACAGAAGAAGGTCCCTTGGGTTCTGGCAGCAGGAAATTATACTACACCTTTCTCCTTACACATTGTTGTCTTGGGTGAAAATAACGTGCATGCTTGTGTTCTGTGCTAAAGGCAAATGTCACTCCCCTCAATTAACTGGAGGAAGGCAGAACTAGTAAGAGGGATAGCATGTCTCTGTCTTGGCCAGCATTTGTAGTGGTTGTCACATAATTTGAAATACGAGTTAAGTAGTTTGCTCCATGCTGTGATTTCTTCCCTTTATGGCCTCTTTATTGCAACTGCCTTCTTACTGTGCCCCTCATGTTTTCACTAGCGATGCTTCCCTCATAGCTGTCCCTCACGCCTTCATGGATACACCATCTTACCTTTCGAGGAAATTTCAGATTTGTCAGGCCAGAGATGTCAAATCTTGCCTTATTTTGCTTCATCCCACTTCAGACATCTACTTTTTTTGAACAAGCAAACTGTTGTTAAGCGTGAAATGTCTGCTTTCCTTCTTCTCCTTTCCAAATACGAACCTTGGCCTCCTGGAGACATCAGAAAAAGCTTAGTGTAAGTTTCATGTCTTCCCTGTAAACTTTCAGTGGGGGTGCTTTTTCTCTCTCTTTGCTTGATATCCAAGCACTGCTCACCTAGAGTCATTGGCTATAAGCTGCTTATTTCACTTTCAGAGTCACACACACGCACACACAAGTCCTTTCCCCGCTCTTTTTCTTTAGCTTAAAAAAAAAAAATCAAAAAAAAATCAACTTCCATATCCAGTCTAGGATACCACTTCCATTATCTCGATATTACATTTTGAAGGCAGCATCTTCATACTTTCTCCTGTGGTGGCTTTCATGCTGAGGGACCTTCTTGTAAATATATGCAAAGCTACTTCATTGTGCTTTAATGTATACAGAAATCTCAACCGCGTTTGAGCTTGTGCTGTGCTGAGACTACAGCCCATCATTCCAGCTGATATCGTCTCATTGTTTAATTGTACTTGCCCGTTTTCTGTGGTGTTAGGCTTTTATCTGAGACTGTCTTTAAGGCTTTTTGATTTTGGGGAGAGGATTTGTGCAGCATGAAACATGTAGGGCATAGTAATCTTTGGATAAGTATCATAGGTGCTATGTTATTACAAATAATATGGAATAATACGTTTCCTACATATCAAAATGCTCTAATTATGTTATCATTACAGCCAGTGTAGGATCGGCACCATTGAAGTAAAGTTCTCTTAGCTGTCTCAGAAGGGTGCTTGGCACCTTTTAGGAACCTGCTGTTTTTTCATCAGAAAAGTCTGTATATTGATTTTTTTTCTTTTCTTTTTTTTTTTTTTAAAAAAAAGACAAGAAAGATGTTCTTTTAGGATTACGGAGATGAACAGCCTGTTATGATCATCTTGAGTATAATGGAGACCATAGGACTTCCCTGAATTAATTCCTGAGAGAATTGCAATGCAGCTTAGGAAACGAAAAAAAAAAACCAGCCCACTAATTTTTATTTAAACCTTGCTTATGGTTGTTTTCCTAGTTAATAAATTTTATTTCAATTTTTCTCTTATAGGTAAAAGTGACCCATTTTGTGTAGTTGAACTGAACAATGACAGACTGCTGACACATACCATCTACAAGAACCTTAACCCAGAATGGAACAAAATCTTCACATTGTAGGTGTTTGGATTTTGTGAATGTTTGGGAGGTGTTGAGATTAGGGGTTTTTTTGGGGGGGGATATTTTGCAGGGGATGTACATGTGACTCAAAAGATACCTACTGCTGATTCTCAGGAAAGACCCAAAGAAGAAAGAAATTTCTAAAGCAATCAGCTAAATACTTTAGTGAGGATTAAAAACGTGAAAATAATTACAGAAAAGGTAAAAAAGCAAGGTCTGTTTCTTGGAAAGCAGGTATAAATAATGCTGAGCACTCCAGACATCTGCCAGCTTCAGTGAGAATTTTAAGTTTGGGATGGAAAAAAGAATATTGTGCTTATGATCTTCAATAAAACGTGGTTGTTAACTTTAATAAACATTATATAGCTGTATAAAAGGATGAAGTTTAAATGCATTTATACTTCTCTGAGTTATGACCAGATACTTCCCAGCTGTTCTTTCTGTTTACTAACTGCACTTCTCACTGTGCCTTGTAGTGTCATACTAGTACAACGCTGCTATTGGATAAAAAGCAGTCTTAAAAATTCAGTGTACTGGAAAGTGGTGCTATTGTTTATTTTATCCTTCTGTTGCTCTGAAGACAATGAAAGGCTCTGACAAAACAGAACAAAGTATTCCACAAACAAAGCTGCTCTTATTTGTCTTACTCAGTTGCCTTCTTTTTTCTTCCTGCTTCTCTCTGCAGTGTGACACTAAGGGGTGGAAAACTGATCAGTTGCAGGTTTTTCTCTGCTCCTGAAATCAGCTAACAACCCACTGCAAAGCCAGTGGAAGCTTCAGCTTCTTGTATGCCTGCTTAATTTTATCATAAATGAAAATGCTGTTTTTCCCCGATCTTAAAACTCAGTCTGATTTTAATTTTCTCTTCTTTCGTTTTTTTTCCTCCCACTCTACATTTGTCATTCATACATTTGTCAGCTGTAGCTTTTCTTGCCCTGCAGTGAGCTCTCAGGAATGAACCAACAACAAAAGAAAAAGAATCATGCGACAGCTGTACTTCTCGTTACCTTATTAATGTACTCCTCATTTACGTATTTGCAAAACCATCCTAAATTCTTCATTAATTTATTTTTAATTATCTACAAATAGAGCCCATAAGTAATCAACCTCTACTGCCGACAGTGTTCTCTGCATAAGAAATTGCCTGGTTTTGTGGAGGACAAAAGATTATTCAGGAATCAAATAGGAAAACTCAAAAGGCCTTCGAGGAGAGTTTTCACCTCTCTTCTCTGTATATTTACACTCACTGTTTTATTTAATCTCAGATTTGTTAATTAATATTAAGCTAGCAATCCAGTTTCGTCTGGAAGCCTATTATTTTTCTGAAGTTAAATTGCTTTGCTTGAATTCGTATTTATTTCCTGGATTAGTCATTTGATCAAAGATAAGTTCTCTCAAAACAGTTCTGGGTTGTGGGGGTTTTTTGTTTTGTTTTTTTTTCTCTGAATAGGGAACGTGAAGTTTTCACTTGAGAGTTTGCAATACATAGTGACATTTGTTGTGCTTGGTGGTCGGAGTGTTTAATAGCTCACATGCAGAAAAAAAGTAATAGTGGAGAAATGCATCATTTCGCATTGCTTTTTCTTAATTTGTTGCAACGACCATTGTATATTTTTAATTAAGCAAGGATTTCAGAGTTAAGGAGCTCATTCTCAGCGTGAGGACGGGCTGGTGATTATTTTCGTTTATAAACATGCGGACATCGCGGTGTTGGTGGCATGTGAGGGCTCTTGGTCCTGCTGCTCTCCGCTGTAAATCCCCAGTGAAAAAAATCCCAGGTGGGAAATTTAAAGCAACATCCCTCGGAAAACTTCTGCTGGGAGAGACTCTCTGAGAGAGAAAAAGAGAGATGGATCACCGCAGCCCTCAGGAAGCGTTTTGGTTATAGGGAGAGATGTCTCCTTTACACTTAGGTTGTGTTCTGTGCCATGACTCGGAACAAAATAGAGGGGTGTCTGTTTTTGCTAACCTCTCATGCTTTTGTCCTTGGTACCTGCTGGCGTAGGTGACTTCTCTCTTCTGTGTGTGCTTCTCCCTTTGTAGCAATATTAAAGACATCCACTCGGTGCTCGAAGTGACAGTTTATGACGAAGACCGCGATCGGAGTGCCGACTTTCTAGGCAAAGTCGCTATACCGTTGCTGTCTGTAAGTTTCATCCACCTGACATACTGCTCTGAATTTTTCCTGCTAAAGGGGAGGGGGGGGGCCTAAGAAAGAAAGAAAGAGAGAAGAGAGAAAGAAAGGAGGAAAAAAAACCAAAAAGATTTGCAGCTCTGTGTCTGTCATTTCTCAACCAAGATCTGTAATAAGAACACTAAAATTTTAACATACTCAATTCACGGCCATGTTGAATCCCATGATAGTTAATTTTTCCTGACAGACTCGGTGCTGGTAATGAACAGGTACTTGTCAGACTTGCCACAGTTGTTTTGGGTTCTCTGTCAGTTTCAGCAGCTGGGGGTCAGGGGTCACCGGGGGGGTGTATTCAGCGGAGACCGCGAGACAGACGGCTGTCATGTCCTTTTCCTGCAGATTCAAAATGGTGAACAGAAAGCCTACGTCTTGAAAAACAAGCAGCTGACAGGGCCAACAAAGGGGGTCATCTATCTTGAAATAGATGTGATTTTTAATGCTGTAAGTCTTAACTTTGGCTTTTTTTGTACTGCTAAAGAGTTCAGTTTCATGAAAGCTTTTGTTCCTGATTTGTAGAGAATTTCTGTCATTCCTCATTTTCTCTAAACCTTAATGTGTACTACAGAATGCTCCTCTGCCACTGCCTGGCACACCCACTCTTTTTGTTACTGCTGCCGTTGCCGCTAACGCACGGAGCAGCAGCTCCCGCCCCCGGCCGG